CCATTATTGTCAAAGAGGTTCTAGAGATCTTAAGGAAGCATAAGCTCTATCTTAAAGCTGAGAAGTGTGACTTTCATCAGCTGCAGATAGAGTACTTAGGCTTTATTGTTGGCAAAGGCAAGCTCCAGATGGACCCAGTGAAGGTGGAAGGTGTCTCTGATTGGCCTACTCCAAGCAATGTGACACAAGTACAATCCTTTGTGGGCTTCTGTAATTTTTACAGAAGATTTATTAAGGATTTTGCTCACATTGCAAGGCCTCTCCATGACCTAACCAGGAAGAATACTCCATGGCAATGGGGGGAGAAACAAGAAGCTGCTTTCCATACCTTAAAGCAGACTATTACTTCCTCCCCTATTCTTATATTTGCCCAAGATGACAAACCCTTCCAAGTAGAGACTGATAGCTCTGATTATGCATCGGAGCTGTGCTCTCTCAGGAGGGGGATGATGGCAAGTGGCATCCCATAGCCTTCCTGTCTAAGAGTTTATCTGAGACAGAAAGAAACTATGATATCCATGACAAGGAGCTACTTGCTATTATCAGGGCACTTGAGGAGTGGAGACACTTCTTGGAGGGAGCCAGATATACTTTTGTAGTGCTGACTGACCACAAGAATCTGGAGTACTTCAGGACAGCTAAGAAGCTGACCAGAAGACAGGGCAGATGGTCACTATTCCTCTCCAGCTATGACTTTACCATGGTCCATAGACCTGGTAAGGGCTCTGGGAAACCAGATGCCCTGTCCAGGAGGCCAGATCATGGACAAGGGGAGGGGGATAATGAGAATGTGGTTCTTCTTAAACCTGAGTTCTTTCAGGTTAGAGCATTAGAGAGGGGTCATCTGATGATCTCAGGCCATGAAAAGGACATCCTACAGGATATTAAGGCATGCCATGACTTGGATGAGAAAGTGGTCAAAGCTATTAAAGAGCTCCAAAACTCCCCTGTCAAGCAGCTACATGGCAAAGAGTGGAGTGAGGAGCAAGGCCTAATTCTCTTTCATGGCAAGGTCTATGTCCCTAAGGATGAAGCCCTGAGGGTAGGATTGTCAGGTTCACCATGATTCCCCAATTGTGGGACACCCTGGGAGATGGA